GACAACAAAGACTCTATTGAACAATAAATAAAATAGTATATTTAAGCTTTAATAATATTTATTGACTTTTTAAACGTCAGTAGATCGAGGTGTACGTGAATTAATGATCCAGTGATTGGACAATACATGTGTTTAAGCCAACGAAGAATACTTTTCGTAAATATGGTTAGACTGTGAAATACAGGTACACTAATATCCTTCATCTGTACAAAATTCAAACTCTAAACATTCATCTGTTCTCATAGCTGACCATAGATATTTATTATTAGTGCACACTGATGTGGAATCCCAAACTAGGACGAAAATTTTGTTCATTCACAACTCAACAGTTTCTATTCAAACCTAAATGATGTTAGTGATTGGTGATTTAATTTATAAAAGCCAACAGGATAATACTCACCCACCGCCTGGAGCCTAGAGATCCTCATTTATTCAAGTTTGTTGATTTCCCTTAAATATATATGAAGCCAGTGAATAAATAATTCGAAATCATACACGATGCACAAGAGAAATGCTTCGTCGATGAGTGGCCTAGCGGATAATAAAGCAGTGACGCTTTTAAACCATAAGTACTCATCTCAGTAGAAGCTGTACCATCCACAGCATCCACCTGAGGAGTCTCGAATAAGATGAAATGCATGTCCTGAATTCTACTGCTGGGCATCACCTAGGTGAAATGACCGAGATATTGGGTTTTGTAAGGACTTGAATTTATTACAATGTAGACACGGTCACGAACCAGCATCACAGTTAGAGAATCATTGAAAGCCAGGAAGCCCTGGACAGTTATTTCATCCTAATTAGTAACCCGTTCATCATTTCACACCCATGACCCCAACCAGCCGTCAAACCTGGGACCTTCAAACAAAGTGGATGCCAATCGACAGTATTGTTTGGCAACAGCGTTATATTAAAAAAAAATCGATAAAACTGAGAATTCACAAACCATTGAATTTCAGTCTGGTAGACAAACTGGCCTCGTAACCTGAAAGTCCTGGATTCGAATCCTGAAGAGATCATGCAGCGAAGAGTCACAAACCACGATGAAACAACTGTCCAGTACTACCTGGTTCTCGAACTCTTAATGGCGGTCGATGACGAAATCCACATTTAAATTAATCCTAATCTTTAATAAACCCTTTCGTCTAAATGAATGAGATAAGATTTAGGCAGAATCCCATTACAACTGAGATTTTTACTTCAAATTTTGTTGTTTTCCGACAATCATTGCAACACAATCAAGTTTAGTAAACGAATACTATTTCGCACAATTTGTACCCGATTTTTCTCTCTCCCATTCCCCTGCATTTCCACCTAATCTCTCAAGGTCATCAAGGCTCTAAGTTCTACTCCCAAATAAAATACTAAGGTCAGTGTGTGTATATACAATAACCAAATAAAACTACAAAGAAGTACATTGTCCAGTGTGTGTTTTTAAGTGAACATTTGTCTAAATGATTACAAAGGGTAGTGTCATCAAGACAGAAAGAACATATTCAAGTTTATGTCAACCATTTATTGTGATGATTAGAAGGTGGTGGTGGTGGTGGTGATGATGGTGATGGGAGTAGAGGTGTGTCTGATTTCATATCGATTATCATCCACAGAGAATATACTATGATGACCTTAAGATGACATCTCCTCAACTTAGTTTTAAGTTCTTGTCACGCCTACACATCACTACACATACTAAACACACACACACACGTTAGTATACTTAAAAATCAATATAGAAGACTTCATTCGCAACATACTTTAATTGATATACGGAGATTTAGATATCATTTTTGGTGAAGATTTGAAATAATTCGATGTATGGTTATAATTTTCCGTAGACTTATATATCTGAAAGCACTGAAGAGCTTCACTTCTGGATATGAACAGGCTTCTTGAATGAATGTCTCGATATCATCACAAGATTTTAAATTTGCAGTTGCTCATCTAGCCGCCGTCAAACAAGTGACGGCCAAGTTTCATCACCAGTAAGTACCAGTGGAGTGCGACAGCACCAATGAACTTAAAACTCTCGTTGAGCAACTTAGTGAAACCTGGTAAATGATATTGTAACCATGATTAAAATGTGCTTCATGAAGTATTATGTTATTAAATGGGATATCTGACAAGTTTTAGATTAAGTTTGGGAATGGTTAAGGCTTGGCTTAGGGATAAGCTGGGATTAGGTTGACCTAATAAGGGCTAAATTAGGCTTGGTTTGAGTTAGACTAGATTTAGTTTAGGGGTATTTTCACGTCAGGGTTAGTTTAAGGGAAGGTTAGAAGACCTAGATAACTGCATATATAGAATGTGGTTAAATTAATCTGTAGACACTCCTATACAAATCTGACAGACGTTTTCGTCACCCATCAGAGAAAGGTATCCTGTGTAACAGTTTCATGCCTTTTAATTTATTATTTTCATGAATGTATATGTATTCTATATTCAAATATCGCCTTTAACACGTGGTTGGTGTGTCATTTGTCCATTGGTACTTACTGGTGTCAAAAGTCTAACTTTGTAAGAACAACACATACGAAGTTAGACTGGAACACAAACTGAAGTTTGTGAGATTTAATTAATTTTAAAGCTATCAGGCCGTTATTGGTTGATACCTATTTAAACCTACCATCATCAGAGATTTGGTAAGTATTATCAAAGGAACAAAGCATTTGATTCACTCCCAGCCAAGCTGTCAAATGTAAGATGATGCTGCATGACTGGTCTGTACCAATTCCCAGTTTTAAGATAGGGGGTGAAGCGAATGATGAGCCCGCTGAAGCCCTATGTTCCACTCGGAGAGTATATATATATATATATACTCAGTGAATATGGTTTGTTACTGGTGATTTTAATTCAACCATCTTTCCCACTGCTTAGTTGGAAAGAATTTCAAAACTGATTGTCTCTTTCTATAGTTGGTTTATAAGGATTAGTTTAGTTTTTACGAGTTGATCACGGACTGATATCATGGGCCATTAAATCGGGTCGCAGTGGCTGAATGGTATACGAGCTTGCCTTGTAACTGGAAGGTCCTGGGTTAGAACCCCAGTGAGTGCGTACTGCCGATGATTCCCAGACTAGGATGAAACAGCAGCTGTCCAGTACTCTCTGGCTTTTAATGATTGTCTTTTGTCTAAATCTATACATGCAGATTTTGAGTTTTGTAAGAATTTGGATTGATTTCAGAGTGGACTTTGTCATGAAACGACATCAGTTGGAGAATTAGAGAGGATGTAGTGGCACTGCAAAGATGTTTCATCCCTGTTGAGGACTCTTCAGATTTGCGAGACCATAATCCTACTAGGGATCCTACTGAAACATTGAAGGATGCATGGTCACCCCAGTGATTTTTCATCCTCTAAGTTGAATTCCAACATTTCGTGAATTTTGACTTCTGTTAATTTGAGATTTAACATCACATTTAACTAATGCCATCGGTAAGAATCTTTATTACCCTGGTATTATACTTGAACCCTAACAGCCACGATTTACAGTTAGATTCTCAGAACATTAAGCCAATAGACCAGTGAATGAATGGTCAACAAACTTGCCTTGTAATTTGAGGGTTCTAAGTTCGATTCTTAGAAGGGGCACACGTGCTTAATAGTGATTCCGTCTTAAACCAGAACGAAAAAGCCGTCTAGTGCTCCTAATTATTCACAGGTTCTTTTCATAGATTGTTGTTAACGGTCTGCCTAAGCCATTGGGCAACCAGAATTTCCATCCATTAAACTCTTCTACATTCCTCATTGTTTAAATCATGCAGTTATATCAGTAATAATAATAATAATTTGCTTTATTCTAAAACAGTACTTGCGATACAGAATGGAATTCTCAGCAATTTACTACAGTATTGCATCCAGTCAGTACATTATCAATAAATAAAATTCTACATAGATTAAGGAAATTTCAGTTCATTATGACAACAACATATTGACATGTCGGTAGCAAGGTCAAAATTGAACAGAGTGTTTGAAAAGTAGATGCTAGCATGTTTACTGGTGTAAGCAGAAGAAAGAAACAAAGCTGCACATAATAGAGAAAAGGAAATGAAAGAAAGAAAACGTTGTACCTATAAATGATATCAGTTGGGAAGACGAGATCCAGTTGTTCTACTGACTATTTAATAAGTTATAGGTATCACGCTTAATGCTTTCTTTATCTCACAGAACACGAACTAAGTAGGGTATGGTTGAGTTTTTGCATCTACTAGTGCGAGCACATAGTTTTCTGTATAGGCTTCTGGTTCTGCCTGCCTGATGAGATACAAGGGAAGAGTTGTGAATGAAGATGGTGGTGTGAGTTAGATAGGTAAAATGGATTTAGCCCATTTTTCACATGAGTCCATGTGCCTGTCAAGCAGAATATTAACAAGCTGGTTAAGTGGCACGTTGCTTACCCTGCTGACAACCTTTAACATCCTGCGTAATAAGATATAGTCTTTCTTCAGTAGCCCAGGAAAAACTAAGGGGGAACAATAGAGAATAATAGGCAGAATGTGAGAGTTAACGAATGACCATCACATAAACTCGCACGCATATGTAATTAGCTTCTAAGCAAACACTGAAATTCTTGAAGGATCGTTTCTTTCTTTATATTCAACAATACCACTACGTCACATGACTTACTTCAGATTATTACTTTGCATGTACATTTTACATGAAGAGGGAGTATTTTGGAACTAAATACGCTGCAAATTTCTGTATTATTTGTTCACATATTGTCTTAAATAAAGTTTTACTATTATTATTATCATTAGATGACATCAGTAGTTTTTCCTTGCTATGATTACACATTGTGTGAACAGTGTTCCAATAAAACATGAAATCTGGCATCAACAGTTTTCTACTGCAGAATATCTTGCTATAGAAATATATACAAGAGGTTAGAGACGTGTATCATTACAATATAATCTAAGATAGTCAATGGCAAAACAAGAAGAATATAGTAAACAGGAATTTGACTTAAACTTTTATAGATATTGTGATAATCAATTAACTCACATGTTAAACAAGCCTCTGGTAGTCTATTCGGAGTCCATTTACGTTCATGATGATCGCATATCAATGTAACATGTCGTCTACGTTCTAACCACCAAGGGTTATTATCATTATTATTAGTAGTAATAGAAGTATGAATAATTCCTGAGTAAACATCATCTAATCCCGGATCAGTTGGCTCTAACCAACGATCAGATGGACAGAAGATTTCAGCATAAGCAAATGTATGCGATGTATGCGGATTTGTACGAAAACGATAGTCAACTATACCATTCCCACTTGGTGGATTGATTGGAACACATAAAAGAGCTGGAAATCAAAAGATAAAATTTTCAAAAATGATACAGTAATGAAATGAATGAAGCAAAAAGAATTACTACAACTTCATATACGAATTTCACCCTTCCCTAATCCACTCTAGTGAATTTGAGAGGATTCGAACCCAGAACTTACGTCAATAAGCTGCACCAGTACTACCCATTACATTGCTTTCACTTTTCCTTCTAGACATCTTCAACGCTTACTTCAATGTGAAGTGAATATGTCTTAGGAGGCTTCTGTGGATCAGATATCTAACTATTCTGATGACCTTAGCTGTGACTGGTTCCTTGCGGACTGTATTTATTTCTAGTCGGGGTTGAAGATGTTGTCTGGTAAGAAAGCTTCACAGTTAACCTACAGCACCAAACATATGTTTTTTTTTTAACAGTCAAGTGACATGGATGTTGAACAAAAAGCAAGATCAAGAAAGAAATGGATACCGCAAGAGGGTATTTCGCATAAAATGCAAAATGAAACCATAAGACGCAAATGTATAGACGCTGAAAAAGATAAAAGTACACTTTCTATTCAACAGAAGTATATCAAAGAAGGCATTCACAGTTGCAGGAATGTTGCTGTATATAGGAAAAGTAACAGACAATTCAGTCCATCGTAGATAGATAAATGTCATGCTTATTGTCAACTTTTGTTGTGTATATACGAAAAATTGACAGGAATGATTCTATATGACACACACATCGACTAGTGGCGCTTATCAACCCGCCAGACAGTAGTGATCTAAACACCACGGGACAGACAGTTCTCTTGTCTGGGAAGCAGCTTATCAATCGATGTAATCAGTTTATCTCAGTTCCTACAACCGAATTAGTCCAAACCATCCTAATACTAGTAGCAATGGTAATATTTGCAATTTACACAGTCTGAGGAGTAATCTAATCTCAGTTTCCTTTAGAAACAGGAACTATTCAAATTACAATATGTATGACATCCATTGACGCCATGAACAGTAATCAAGACAGCAAGAATAAATGCATGACGCTACACGATACTGATCAGCTGTTGCGAGAAATTGGATACTACTCATATTTAGATGGCGTCATCCAGTTATGCTTGTTTTCTTGATTACTACTGTTTGAAGTCAGCCAGATCATACACGCATATATTGTGTGTAATCTGAATAGTTGGGGACTTTCCAAGGGAAACTGTGGTGTATTTTCATCACCTTGAATGGTGTATGTAAATAGCGAGTTGTGAGTTTGACTCAGTTCATGTGACAAAGAAAGGCGTTTAACAGAATTTTCAAAAGAAAATATCTAATCAAACAAAACAATATGAACAGAATATTCTTATAGCATCAAACACAAACATGAAAAAAAATACTTTTAGCATTACTCATTTCTTCTTCTTCTTCTTAATAATAATAATAATAATAAATGCTCACACGCTCACACACAGACACATAGGCGCTTACACAATTATACTGAAAAATAGTAAAACAAAATTCCTTCTAAACATTGATAGATGGATGCGTATATATAACGGTATTAAATACCTATCTACACTTGTTAATAAAAGATGAATGCATCACATAAGTCGATGATTACTAAAGTATTATTGATAATAATAAGCTTAAGTAGAAGATAAAGTAGCATATTAATTTATCGACCGAAGAAAGAATCAATAACACAAAAGTGAATATATATATAATAGTTTTAAGTTATGCTTGTATTAAACTGATCCACCAAGCTTTATTGACGGCATAAAGGCTGTTGAGTAGTTTGGGTAAATAATGAACAGTAAGACATGTCCATATTGTTAGTTGTTAAACAGTGATATGGAAGTCAGGTTTGTATAAATCGTAATTCATTAATGAATTAGGCTGTCGGGAATGACTGTTCTTTTTAGTTTATAGCATTACTGTAAACGCTGGATATGCAGGTAGCTCTATCTTCTTACTTCTGCATTCTGAATAGAACATAAGACGGGAAACTGTAGGCTTTGAAGTGTTATTAGCAGTGGTGTTGCTAGCCCCATGCCCAACTTTCTTTCCTTTTTGATGAAGTGGTCAAGGGCGGAACCCGGGACACGTTAGTGGTTGGCAAGTATGTAACCGCTGACGCAAAGTTAGATAGTGGCCAGTTTGAAAATAGTTGTCGTTACAGTATGAAGTTTTCTGTGCTTTTATATGCTTCAGAAACTTGAGCGTAAGCTTGGCTGGAAGGCATTTACTACAGGCTACTTTAGACTTTTATCGAAGCTGAAGAGACCGTTGGGTGACATTAAACGCTATGCAGATCCTCGTGTGGGACCCCGATTGGCTGCAATGGATTGGGTGTCCGAGAGTAACACGGAGATCATGTGAGGCAGTTATGCAGCCAGTGGCCAAATGTGATGTCAGAGAATAAAATACAGTGGAGATGTACCGTTAAAGTCTTACATATTTCACTACGAACTCAAGGAATGGGTAATAATATTCACTAATAGTAAACTCGGATAGAATAAAATGAAACAGATTGATTTCTTGACCGAGGAATCAATCAATATTACACACTCCAAAACCTCACGAAAAATGAGGGGAGGTTGGGGGTGTTAGTCCAGTAACCTCATCACGGAAAAATGACACGCCACCGCTGAAACTTTAAACCTTCAAGCCCTACGTCCCGCTCAAAACTCAAAGGAACGAAGAAAATACAAGTGTCGAGTATTGCGAGTAAATAATAATAATGATAATAATTCTGAGTTATTCATGTGGATATTTATTAAACATTGATGTGAAAGTCAGGTTTGTATATGTCGTGATTAATCAGGTGATTGGTTACAGGATTTCATCATTAGTTGACATCAGTTAGAGAACTATTGGAAAACCTAAGGGACTGGACAGCTGTTGCGTCCTAGTTTAAGACTCTTCAGAAGTACGTACCCATCACGGGGGGTTCTAACCCAGGACCTTCTGGTTTCAAGGTGAGCTCGTAGACTGTCGGGAATAATGATTTATTTACTTTCTAATATAACCAAAATCGCTGGCTCAATGACTGAACAAATAGCTCCTCTATGCAGAGTTCTAGATTTAGCATGTAGATTGACATGGCTACTGTAGTTTGAGGAAGTTTGATTCTCATACCCCTCTGGTAAGATCTCTGCGTACTGTGTAGATTACTTTGATTTTGGTTTGTAAGATCGCTGTGTATCCAGAATCCATTAGATGTTCTTGAATATAACTGTAAGGTGATTTTTTCACCTCTTCTTTATTAATTCTTATGACACTAATCTTAATTTGGCAGTCTTTCAATTTTACTTGAACTCTACTCACGAAAAATACCTATCCAGAAATAGAAATAGGAACTGAGAGTTCAGTGAAGAGTGTCCTTTCAGTGAATTCATTCACTCATCTGTACAATGTCAATTATGTATGATTAATTGTCACATGGTGAATCAGTGGCATAGCGGTTAGGACGCTCGCCGACCATGTACATGGTCCGGGGTTCGATCCACAGCCGACGCACTCCTTTGCCTCGTTAAGCCAGAAATAATGCTGGTAAGGAGGAAAGGTTGGGCATGATGCTAGCAACCCTATCCTGTAAAATAAACACTGCTACAGAAACTTCAAGCCACTAGCTTGAAGCCCTATGTTCCACTGGGGAACGTGAAGAGAAAAAAAATTGTTGCATGTATGTCTACAAAGCACAAGAACAAATATTATGCAAATACTTAGAAGACAACCACCTGAATATCGAAATACCTACACCAAAATAAACAGAGCTCCTACTTAGATACACTCTGAATGTCCAGATCATATTCACTGCTGTTATCTACAGACAAAATGATGGCGTAACACAGGATCACCGTTGGGTAGGTTACTTGCAGATGGAAAATGGTCCATTAAAATCGACCATAGAGAGGTTTCTTCTGTTAATGTATTTTCCAAAAGTAAACTCTTCGTTGAACTTTTTTGACTTTACTCAGTCTTGTCAAATATGTTACGTTGTTACTCAATTAACGTATTTTATTTCAGTTTTTAACTGATTATTGCCTTCTGCGTTACGTAATTATAATTGAAAAACAATTTTGATGATACATATTTGAAAACATCCCTTTTATATACATGATTCTGAAACCTGAGAATGATGTTGCTGAAAATATAATGCCAAGTCTAAAACTAGTTGTCATTGGAGAATGAAGATGTCAGCGCTTCTATATTGTTCAGAAACATGGTGTGAGCTTGACTAAAAGGCATTTCCCACAGGCTACTGAAGATTTTCATCGAGGACTACTGCCAACGCTGAATACTGAAGATCAGATGTCCACCCAGAAAGGAACTAGGGGATTACAATGAACCAACCCAAGAAGTAATGGCCAATAAATATGCAGAAGGAAATAAAGATGGACTGAACATACACTAAGAAGATAGCTGAGTGACAGCACACGCCAGTCAAACCCTCAAGTGAAACTGTAACAGGGAATTATGGGTTAGGCGTCTGAGGGTGATGTGACGAAGATCATGTAAGGCAGTTTTGGACTCAATGGCCAACTGTCATAGCGGAGTACTGAGTGTAGTGGAGATGTACCGTTGAAGCTATATATGTTGCACTCGGAAAACAAGTAGTTAATAATAATAATAATAATAATAATAATAGTAGTATTTATAATAATATTAGTGGATGAAGCTGTACTAGTGGTTAGAGACAAATAGGCCGACAATCAAATGTTACTTCTGGTCAACCGCTCATTTAATCAGATTTTAATTTCACTCTAGAGATGATGATTTGACCCAATAGTCAATAATCAAAGATTAAAAACTCAGATTTGCTCTAAGGTTTCGCCTGAGATAGCAAGCCTAGCAAAAAAGTAATGCTTATAAGCATGACAGGGGTAGGTTAGTCCCTGTAACAGATAATTGCTTGGCTCTTGGGTTACGCATAAAATCAGTCCTATACTCTCTCTCTCTCTCCTTCAGTTATTTTAAGCAGACGTAGATATGACAAGGTATGTACGGAAATAAGTATCTTTAAAAGGTCTACTGACATCTA